GAGCTGTTCACCTACCAGACTTGTACAGACAGACCCACCTGTAGCTGATATATCACTTTATAGCACTTTATCACTAAATTTCGGGTGTCCATAGTTCTTAATGATACATATCTTCATGTGCCAATTTTTTAGGCTCGTCAAGGGTTTCTCTGATTGCAGTAAAGACTTAACATTTTTTTTTTCTTTGTTTTCGGGAACTGCCCTTTGGGCTGGCCACAGCCCTTCGAGTGTTCACAAAGCTCTTAGCCCTGGTGCTCGGCTTACTGAAGACAAGGGGTGGTGGCAATCTTTGAATACCTTAATGTTCCTTTGCTCAGCGAGCAGTTGGTTTCACGTTTAAAGCGAAATATAAGAAGCAAAGTGTATCCTTCTGTACTTCTCTGCATGAGGAAATGGTATCTACATTGAAGTGGTTTCCTTTGTGCGGTGCCACTCCAGGTCTTTTGTAGAGGGACATTCTTTCTCTCTGGATCCTGGAGGTCCAAGCATTGGATTGCCAGAGGGCTTTGTCCCCGTGGTATTGCAGAGTCTGAATTGGTATCTGGAGAAGGGGTAATTTTCCTTCCAGTGATATGGAAGGTAGTAACTATCTCTCTCATTGGAGGGTTGGTTTAAAAGTGGCTACAGTTCAGGAGATTTTGTCTCCACTGGAGGGAATACTGCCCATTGGTGTCTTGGAACTTCAGTCAGTACACCTTGCTCTGGACTATTGGATGAACCAGTTGCACAGGATTGTGGTCAGGGTTTGGTCCTACAATGCCACTCAAGTGGCGTATATCAACCACTAGGGGTTGTGCAGTTCAGGTGACCCACATTCTGTCTGGGGCAGAATAGCATGTGCTGTCTTTTTCGGCAGTACATATTCCAGGTATAGGAAACTGGCAGCAGTTTTTTTTTTTTTTTTTTCCCCAGAGGTCAACAGCTGATACCAAAAGAATGATCCCTGCACCCTGAGAATCTGCCAGTGTTTGGTAACTCTTGATGTGGATCTTCTGACGTCCAGGTTTTACAACAGGTTGCACAGGTTGTGCCCATGTAGAAAGTCTCACTGGCAATAGGGGTAGATGCACTGGTAACACCGTAGAAACCATTTCCTCCTAATCTATGCTTTCCGCTGATTCAGCTGTTGCTGTGTATTTTGTGCAGGATCCGGAAGGAGGTAACGCTAATAATTGTGGTAGCCTGGCCTAGCCCAGAAGGGCTTGATACACCAACATAGTGTATCTGGCAAGGGACGTTCCTTGGACACTTCCGGTCTGCCCAGACCTATTGTCTTGGGTGCAATAATGTATCCTGTATACGATTGCTGAGATTGAAGTCTTGGCTATTTAAGAACAAGGCTAATAGGATCGAGGGATCTTGGGTCCTGTTTTCTCTGCCTTCTTGAGTGCTAGAAAGCCGGCTTCAGGGAGCTTCCATTGTAAGACCTGGAAATCTTATTTGCCTGGTGGGAGGCCAGGAAGTGGCACTCGCGGAAATATGTGATTTTAAGTTTTTTTTTTCCTAACGTGAGGGGAAATGAAATTGATCTTAATACTATTTAAGTTCAGGTTTCGGCTCTATCTATTTTTCCTTTTGTTCTCACTCCTTGATTGGTACTTCTTACAGGGTGTAACATGGATGGTCCCATCTGTCAGGCCGCCCTTGTGTCCTTGCAGATGATGCTTTTTGAACCAATTAAAGAAACGTAATCCTTTGACTCAGAAGGTTTGCTACTTTGGTCTTCTTGCCTAGAGTTTTTCTTCTTGCCTAGAGTTGTTTCTTCTTGCCTAGAGTTGCCTAGAGTTGTTTTAATCAGGACAGTGTCTTGCCTTTATTTTTTTTTTTTTTATTCTACAGTCAACAGGGGAAAGAGCATTGCATACTCTGGATGTAGTTTGAGTGGTCAGGGTTTACTTAAGTTGGTGGCAGGTCTTGGTTTGGGCTGCCAGAAGGGCCCAGAAATGGCAGGTGGCATCCAGATCCACTAGTTAATCATTCAAACCTATGGTTTGAAGGTTAAAGTCCCACCCTTTCGGGTGAGAGCACACTCTGCCAGGAGTGTGGGGGTGTCTTGGGCTATCTGCCATCAGGCGTCAGTTACTCAGGTTTGCAAGACCACTACATGGTCTTCGGTCTGTATATTCACAAGGTTCTAACAAATGGATGTCAGAGCAGCGGTGGATTCTGCCTTTGGCCACAGCATATTAGGACATTTTTTTTGTTGCTTTAGGACATCCCACATGAATCATGTCATGAATAGCCTCCTTTGTGACCCATGTTGTATGATAAAGAAAACTGTATTTTTTTCTACATACTTACCTGTAAAATCAATTTCTTGGAGTACATCGTGAGACACAGAGGTCTATCCCCTCTTTCTGGAATTTCATTGCTTGCTACAAAAACTGAAGTACCGTATTTGCCGGCGTATAAGACGACTGGGCGTATAAGACAACCCCCTACTTTTCCTGCTAAAATATAGGGTTTGGGCTATACTCGCCGTATAAGACTACCCCTCTTCCAACGCACACCAAAAATTAAAAAACATCAGATTTGATTTCAATATGGTATGGTATTCCAATGATGGGGCACTATTCCCTCCCACTGACACCAATGATGGGGCACTATTCCTCCCACTGACACCAATGATGGGGCACTATTCCTCCCATTGACACCAATGATGGTGCCCCATCATTAGTGTCAGTGTGTGAGGAATAGGTGTTCCATCATTAGTGTCAGTGGGAGGAATAGTGCCCCATCATTGGTGTCCGTGGGGAATAGTGCCCCATCATTGGTGTCAGGAATAGTGCCCCATCATCATGGTGTCAGTGGGAGGAATAGTGCCCCATCATTGGTGTCAGAGCAACGAATCGTGCCCCATCATTGGTGTCAGTGGGAGGAATAGCACCCCATTGGTCGCCCCATCATTGGTGTCAGTGGGAGGAATAGCGCCCCATCATTGGTGGTATCAGTGGGGGAAGAATCGTGCCCCATCATTGGTGTCAGTGGGAGGAATAGCGCCCCATCATTGGTGTCAGTGGGAGGAATAGCGCCCCATCATTGGTGTCAGTGGGAGGAGGCGCCCCAATAGCGCCCCATCATTGGTGTCAGTGGGAGGAATAGCGCCCCATCATTGGTGTCAGGGGGAGGAATAGCGCCCCATCATTGGTGTCAGGGGGAGGAATAGCGCCCCATCATCAGTGGTAGTCAGGGGGTGGGAGGAATAGTCGTGGGGGGAGGAATAGTGCCCCATCGTTGGTGTCAGTGGGATTGCCCCATCGTTGTGTCAGTGGGAGGAATAGTGCCCCATCGTTGGTGTCAGTGGGACCCCACCAACACCAATGATAGGCACTATTCCTCCCACTGACACCAAAGACACTTGCTGACTCCTGTTCTAGTATGGTACTGCTGCAGCCAGCATATGTGGTTGCAGCAGCACCTCTGCACTGCACACTTACCCTCACTCGATTTTCGCGGGTCGTCCGCTCGGCTCCGCCTCCTCGCCCGTGATTGGCCGCCTTTGTGCCTTTCCTGAGCTACAGTTCTGGCGGCCAATCACCGGTGAGGAGGCGGAGCCGAGCGGCAGGAGTGAGGGAGTGGCCGGAGTGACTGAAGGAGCAGCGCTTCCTGGATGGATCGTCGTGGGAGCCAGGTAAGAGACTGCAGCCCTCTGCCCACCCCTGTACTTGGTGTCCCTTCCGTCGGAAGGGGGGGACTGCGGCAGCACCGTGGCGCCCCCCCTAAAAAGTGCCCCCTGACCTGTACCGGCGTATAAGACGACCCCCGACTTTTGAGAAGATTTTCAAGGGTCAAACAGTCGTCTTATACACCGGAAAATACGGTATTTCCTTTGTAGGAGGGATTATGTAGGGGAGGACTTCCTCTCTGATTGGTCGGCCAGTGTCCATTCACCTAGAGGTGGCATATAACCCACATAGTCATGAATAGCCTGCTCTGTGTCCCGTGATGTACTCCAAGAAATGGATTTTACAGGTAAGGATGTAGAAAAAATCCAATTGTCTTTAGAGTAGAATTCTTTATTCACTATCCACTATAAATAGCCCCCTGACGTAGGCCTTGCAAAAGTTACTAATTAATGCAGCTGTACTGCCCTGCTTTCTCAGTCTACCAGGATTGTACCCAAAAATAACTATGAAAGTTCTGATTTGTAAAAGTTGAAACCTGTCTTGGGCTGAGCATGCTTCTTCCTACTTCCATATGCTAGAGCAGAAGCCTGATTGGTTGATCAAGCACCCAATGCTGCATGTTTCTTTATGGGGAGGCAGGGAAGAGACCCATTTTTGCCCATAGCTGAAAATACCAGATATTTGTCAGGGCTCCGGCAGCAATTATAGATAGAAGCGATTATTATGGAACGTACGTTAAAGAAAATCTGCCACTTTGGCCATTCATAGCCAAGTGATGAATTCTCTTGTAGGAACAATCCCTTGCCTGCATTTATTGTCTGCACCTCTCTTCTCCATTGCACTGTCAGAGACCTTGGTAAATATATCTATTCATTCCGGCTATAGAGAAGCATGTGATCTCCACGATGAAGATTATGGAAGGCTGGGTACACTTCTTCCACCTCTAAGCAAAAGGCTCTAATGCCTGAATGACCCAATTGCTAAGTACCAGTGCTGTAATGTGGGAGGAAGCGGTGGGAATCGCATTATCCCCTGTATCTGGAAGCACCAGGCATGTCTCTTTGCTTACGGCAACAAAAGTGGCATGGGAATGAAGGGAAGGCTAGTATACTCTTGCATCGCTTTTGCCTTCCCTTATCATGACCTCTGATTTCAATGTTCTACTTTTGATGAAGAGTGTGTGTGTTAAAGGAATATCACATTTGTATAGGGAAAATAGTATGGCAGTCTGTACACAAGGCAGGCTGAAAAAGATATTTCTTACTATTCAAAAGTTTATTCTTGCTTGGATTGATAACTTTTAGTACTGAAATGTTTTGCTCTCCCATAGAGTATTGGCCTCAACTTCATCAGTAACTTATTTCTTCTCTTCAGAGCCGACCAGTGTTTCCCTCCATGTGGATGGAGTGAATGACATTTGTACAAAAGGGGAAGATGTCAATTTTGTTTTCACAGGATTTTCAGTGAATGGAAAGGTATGACGGATTGGTATTTTTTTTCTTAATTTTAATGCAAACCCTATTTAAAAAATAAAATACAAAAATCCAAACATTTTTTCAGGTATTGGGGAACACATCAGAGTGCTTGAGGCCTGAGTAGCCAGTTGGCAGACTTTAGCACTGTCACCAGAAGGTTTAGTGATTTGGGGAGTTTGGTTTATGGTTAGGTGTAATCAGATTTGATATTTCAGTTGCTAAAGGTGATACTACTTTACTTTATTTTTCTTGTCTGATGTCTTACTGCTCCTGCTTCATTCTCAACAATGAAAGGAATAATGACCAGGTGAAATGAGACCTTTTCAAAGTGGCAGCAGCAGGTTGTAATTCATTTGCAGTAATCTCTCTGCTGGATGGGGTCCATAAGAAGCCAGGGGCGTTAGTAACACATTCAGAGCTTTTTTTACTTAGCATTGCATGTTAAAACATTCAGCCAGAGTAAACCTACAAACATACAGTTTTAGCATGCGAGTTGTTGTCCGTTCAGAGGCACTGAGGCTGCTGTATGATGGTGTATTTCAGCGTATCGTACTGTTTACTTTTTTTAAACTTTATTTAAAGTGTCACTGATACTTCAGTCATATCTCTGAACAGCTGCAGAGTGCTGTGCAACTAATCAGCTTCTAGGTTTTTTTTCATCAAACCTAATGTTATGCAGGCCATAGACTGGTCGAAAACCGGTTGTTTAAAAAAAAACAAAACGAAAAATCAGTCGTTCAATAGGCCGATGTTGCCACCAATGGTAAAAAAAAAAAATCAGCTGATTTTCGGCCCGTCTACGGCCGGCATTTAATTACTTCTGTCCCTTGCAGAGAGCTCTGCTATTATATTTCACATGAAAAAGTATTGTGGTTGCAACAATGTATCCATTTCGAGTACAGATGGTTTTATTCAGATACAAATAGATACATTGTTCCAACCGCAATACTTTTTCATGTTAAATATAATAGCGGACTGGAATTCTTCTTTGTCTTCTTCTTCTTTGTCTTCTTCTTTGTCTTCTTCTTTGTCTTCTTCTTCTTTTGTCTTCTTCTTCTTCTTTGTCTTCTTCTTCTTCTTTTTGTCTTCTTCTTCTTTGTCTTCTTCTTCTTTGTCTTTTCGTCTTTGTCTTCTTCGTCTTTGTCTTCTTATTTCTTCTTCTGTCTTCTTTTCTTCTTCGTCTTTGTCTTCTTCTTCTTGTCTTCTTCGTCTTTGTCTTCTTCTTCTTTGTCTTCTTCGTCTTCTTCTTCTTCTCTTTGTCTTCTTCTTCTTCTTTGTCTTCTTCTTCTTCTTCTTCTTTCGTCTTCTTCTTTTCTTCTTTGTCTTCTTTGTCTTCTTCGTCTTTGTCTTCTTCTTCTTTGTCTTCTTCTTCTTCTTTTCTTCTTCTTCTTTGTCTTCTTCTTCTTCTTCTTCTTCTTTGTCTTCTTCTTCTTCTTCTTTGTCTTCTCCTTCTTCTTCTTTGTCTTCTTCTTCTTCTTCTTCTTTGTCTTCTTCTTCTTCTTCTTTGTCTTCTTCCTTCTTCTTCTTTGTCTTCTTCTCTTCTTCTTCTTTGTCTTCTTCTTCTTTGTCTTCTTCTTCTTTTTGTCTTCTTCTTCTTTTCTTCTTCTTCTTTGTCTTCTTCTTCTTTGTCTTCTCTTCTTCTTGTTTGTCTTCTTCTTCTTCTTCTTTTTGTCTTCTTCTTCTTCTTCTTTGTTTTCTTCTTCTTTCTTCTTTTTTGTCTTCTTCTCTTCTCTTCTTGTTTGTCTTCTTCTCCTTCTTCTTGTTTTCTTCTTCTCCTTCTTCTTCTTTGTCTTCTTCTTCTTCTTCTTTGTCTTTGTCTTCTTCTCCTTCTTCTTCTTTGTCTTTGTCTTCTTCTTCTTTGTCTTTGTCTTCTTCGTCTTCTTCTTCTTTGTCTTCTCCTTCTTTGTCTTCTCCTTCTCCTCCTAAAAAAAAAATATTCCAAAACCCTGAAAAATGGCTGACCAATTAACCCACTAACGGTGCGAAAATCGGCTGATTTTTTTTTTTTTTTTTTTCGTGTGAAAAATTGGCTGATTTTCGACCCGTCTATGGCCTGCATTAGAAGCTGATTGGTGACGTTATTGGTGAAGTTGTGCACAGCTGCACCAGATTCTGGTGCAAAAGTGTGCACCACTTTTGATAAATAACCTCCTTGGTGTCTTTGTATATGCTGAAGTAAACTGCTACATGGCTGCAGTTTACCACTGCTAACTGCACCTCTCAGCTGCATTGCAGTGTGAAAAGGGCACATAAAAAAACAATTATTTTCTATGTGACGTGCATTCATGCAGTGTGGAAAAACGCAGGTCACTTTATGTGAATGGGCCATAAATCGTCTGCCTCTTTCACTATTCTATCTAGTCTGTATTTATGGCACATCTCCACATATGTTCTCATATTTGGAAAACAACTCTTGCATGTTTATTTATTTATTACAGGTACTTGTATAGCGCCGTCAATGTACGCAGTGCTTTACATATATATTGTACATTCACATCAGTCCCTAACCCTCAGGTCCCTAACTCACATTCATACATACACATACTAAGGACAATGTAGACAGAAGCCAATTCACCTACCAGCATGTCTCTGGAGTACCTGGAGGAAACCCACGCAGGCACAGGGAGAACATGCAAACTCCAGGCAGGTGGTGCCATGGTTGGGATTCAAGCCCACGACCCAAGTACTGCCAGGCGGAAGTGCTAACCATTTAGCCACTGTGCTGCATGTTAAACACAGTTCAGTTTATAGCACATCAGTGTGCAGAGAAAGGATTCATGGAGTAATTGTTCTGTCTAATAATTCATTGTTCATGATCAGTGGTATATTATATGCATTTATACACGTTTTTAATCTAACATTTAATATTCATAGTTTTTAAAAAATCACATTGCAGGTTCTCAGCAGAAACCAGGACTTGGGTCCTGTTGGAGTGCAGATTTCTTTGAGAAGAGCAGGCAGTGGTGTAAACCTACAGACAACCACTACTCAACAAGGGGGAAAGTAAGTTTTTGAAATTCATGAACAAAAAAGATATACACAATTTTTCACAGCAGGTTAATGCCAAGAGCTCTATCTTGATGGACCTTTATGTACAAAAGTATTTGAAATACATTCGGTAGAATTTTTTTTTTTTTTTTTATGTTTTTTTTTAATAGTACACAGTTGTCACATGTTTTTGTATAGAACTCTTGAAGGACCACTTACATACACAGACACGTTACTGTATTCAGAGATCTAGGCAAGCACTTTATGATGTGTCTGTAGTGAATATATTATTATTATACAGGATTTATATAGCGTCAACAGTTTTCGCAGCTCTTTACAATATAAGGGAGACATTACAATACATTTCATTACAGAAGGAATAGGAGTGCCCTGCACGTGGAGATTATTAATTAATATATCTTTTTTTCCCCATTTGTTTTGTAGGTATTCCTTTAATAAAGTTCTTCCAGGAGAATATGAAATTGTTGCATCACACCCCACTTGGACTTTAAAAGAGGTATATTCCTTTTTTCCAGCTGTGAAAAACTATTTATTTTTTCAAGCAAAGTCAAAGTTAAATGAATTTGATGCAATTCATTATAATAGACTGTTAGAAATTTCTATTGTTTTTTTTTCTGATCATTACTGTGTGAAACCAGCTGTTATGTGCCTACAGTCTGGTGTAGATAGTTTGCATCACTAGGCCAGTTTGGATAAAGGTAAGTATGCTACAGAAAGGGATTCATTTAGTGTTGGGGTTAAGTTAGTTTAAGAATAGTCTGGGACTATGGCTCACGTTTAAGTGTCGAGGGTTAAACCATATGTGAAGGCAAAAAAAAATATTTGGTACTTTTCAATGCTTTATCAATTTAAACACTCTGCAGGTACAAAATAATTGATGTGTCTGGAATATAGTACGTTCCTACCTGCCTCTTTGACATGACAGCACAGCTCTTTTTAATGGATTACAAAAAGCACAGTACTCTTTGTCTCCCCCCCCCCCCCCCCCCCCCCCCATCTCCACCCCCATCTTCATAACCCCTCATTGTGTACAGGCGGAGAGCCTCACGAGACTTATCAAACAGCAGAAAACTTTCAATTGCATATTTCTCAGACCAAAGGGGGAAAATATATTCATATTCGGGTTTACATACACTTTGTTTAGGGCCAGGTTAATTATTTAAGGTAGAAGCACAGCTGCTGGAAAACCTATTTTGTGTAGAGATGGAAAGGGTTGGATTCTAGTAATGATATAAATGCTTTACGTCTTTATCTAAGGGACTTTCTCTCACTTTCTCTTTGACTCCTGCCACTTGGACAGAAAGGAAGGGGATATTTCCCTAATACAGACACAAACAGAAAAAAAATCCTGACATTTGTTCTAATTCCTCAGTTTTCTAGCAAATGTGGTTGTATTATCTTAATTATTTTATAGTGATTTTTTTTTTTTCCCCTCACTTTTTGATACCTGTCAAATGGACAGGGAGTGGGAGATTTATGCTTTTTTGCTGTTCTGTCTGAAACCCATCAGACAGACTGGAATAAAGGACACCCTAAATCAAAAACTGCATGCATAGGTTAAAAGATGTGGCTTTTTTTTCTTTCTTGTCCATTGAGTGACTCAGGATGTAATGTTGGGTTATACTGCTGGCTACAGAAGAATTGGATACTGGCAAACCAAAAATGTAGGCAAGCTCTAGATAAAATAATAAATTAATAAATAGTGCTGCGCTACTCATTAAACCTAACCATGAAGCAAAAAGTAAACACATGACAGAGCTCCTAAGGTAATATAAATGCATACCTCAAAAATAACCAAATTCAAGTGAATGAAAATATCCAAAAAGAATAGATGCCCTGCTAGGCAATACCAAATACAGTCAGGTCCATAAATATTGGGACATCGACACAATTCTAACATTTTTGGCTCTATACACCACCACAATGGATTTGAAATGAAACGAACAAGATGTGCTTTAACTGCAAACTGTCAGCTTTAATTTGAGGGTATTTACATCCAAATCAGGTGAACGGTGTAGGAATTACAACAGTTTGCATATGTGCCTCCCACTTGTTAAGGGACCAAAAGTAATGGGACAATTGGCTTCTCAGCTGTTCCATGGCCAGGTGTGTGGTATTCCCTCATTATCCCAATTACAATGAGCAGATAAAAGGTCCAGAGTTCATTTCAAGTGTGCTATTTGCATTTGGAATCTCTTGCTGTCAACTCTCAAGATGAGATCCAAAGAGCTGTCACTATCAGTGAAGCAAGCCATCATTAGGCTGAAAAAACAAAACAAACCCATCAGAGAGATAGCAAAAACATTAGGCGTGGCCAAAACAACTGTTTGTAACATTCTTAAAAAGGAATGCACCGGTGAGCTCAGCAACACCAAAAGACTCGGAAGACCACGGAAAACAACTGTGGTGGATGACCGAAGAATTCTTTCCCTGGTGAAGAAAACACCCTTCACAACAGTTGGCCAGATCAAGAACACTCTCCAGGAGGTAGGTGTATGTGTGTCAAAGTCAACCATCAAGAGAAGACTTCACCAGAGTGAATACAGAGGGTTCATCACAAGACGTAAACCATTGGTGAGCCTCAAAAACAGGAAGGCTAGATTAGAGTTTGCCAAACGACATCTAAAAAAGCCTTCACAGTTCTGTAACAACATCCTATGGACAGATGAGACCAAGATCAACTTGTACCAGAGTGATGGGAAGAGAAGAGTATGGAGAAGTAAAGGAACTGCTCATGATCCTAAGCATACCACCTCATCAGTGAAGCATGGTGGTGGTAGTATCATGGCGTGGCCATGTATGGCTGCCAATGGAACTGGTTCTCTTGTATTTATGGATGATGTGACTGCAGACAAAAGCAGCAGGATGAATTCTGAAGTGTTTCGAGCAATATTATCTGCTTATATTCAGCCAAATGCTTCAGAACTCATTGGACGCCGCCTCACAGTGCAGATGGACAATGACCCAAAGCATACTGCAAAAGCAACCAAAGAGTTTTTAAGGGGAAAGAAGTGGAATGTTATGCAATGGCCAAGTCAATCACCTGACCTGAATCCGATTGAGCATGCATTTCACTTGCTGAAGACAAAACTGAAGGAAAAATGCCCCAAGAACAAGCAGGAACTGAAGACAGTTCCAGTAGAGGCCTGGCAGAGCATCACCAGGGATGAAACCCAGCGTCTGGTGATGTCTATGCTTTCCAGACTTCAGGCTGTAATTGACTGCAAAGGATTTGCAACCAAGTATTAAAAAGTGAAAGTTTGATTTATGATTATTATTCTGTCCCATTACTTTTGGTCCCTTAACAAGTGGGAGGCACATATGCAAACTGTTGTAATTCCTACACCGTTCACCTGATTTGGATGTGAATGCCCTCAAATTAAAGCTGACAGTCTGCAATTAAAGCACATCTTGTTTGTTTCATTTCAAATCCATTGTGGTGGTGTATAGAGCCAAAAATGTTATAATTGTGTCGATGTCCCAATATTTATGGACCTGACTGTATGACCTAATCATAAGTGTCCTGTGAGGATGGATGTCTTTTTCTTCAGCTCTGCTGGCAAAGTCTGAATATTAGCTTTTTTTTTTTTCTTTGATTCTTCAAGTGTTTTTGTTCAATCAAAATTGCTTGCTACCTCTGTATCATTGCTTGAGCTGGTCTCAACGTGGTAGCTATCCGATCAGTCTTTCATCATCCAAGCTATTCCTAGGCTCAGCTGGACTTGATATTGTGGGGATAGCCTGAAAGTTATCTTCAGTAACTGGGTTCAGCGCTATGTGCTTTTGCATAATGTGTTCTGGTATAAAGTTAGCTGTGGCATGCTTTCCTTGTCCAAAGCTGTGGGCATTGCCACAGTGCTTGTCTCTGAAGGCTTTTGGAGTTGACCTATTGGGTTGACCACTGGAAGTTAACTTATTTGCAGAACTCGATGCCTTTGTGGTTAAATTCACCCAATCCCTTGCAAGTGCTGACTGCAGCTCTGAATGCATGCCTCACCTACTCCTGTAAGGTCAATCTCTGATCTTCCTGTGGCCCAGAATGACCATCTTTGCCTCACACTTGTAGTCCCCACAATCTCTTTTGATGTCTTTGAAGAATAGCAGTGTCATCAAATTTTCTTAGACATACAAGAGTCAGTTTCTGCTCCTCTTGGTGCAGTGCATTCTATTTTGCTTCGGGATAATCAGACTTTCTCCAGCCTTGGGTCATTTAAAGCCCCTATGGCTGCGGTTTTCCTGTTAGCAAGAAAGCTGCTAAGCTATCTAAGAAGGCTTGAGCATGAAGGTGTGCCCACACTTTTCCATGTGGGGGGTGGTTATTAATCCTTGAAGGTCTTTGGGTAGTTTGCCCTTTGAGCTTTAAGGTGCAAAGAGCTCCCCTTTTAGGCACTTAAGATAAACCCTTGCCTTCAGCCCTCTGTTCACATACTCGCCCCTTTTTCCTCCTGCATCAATGCACAGATTAACAGACCTTTCCCTGCTCCCTTTGGGTCTCCTAAACTGTGTCCGTTCAACCGCCAAATCTTGCCCCATCCAGGCCACTAGTCTCTTTCCCTGGCATATCCTATTTCCTTGGGGCTTGTAAGGTCATCATTGGTACCTGGTACCACTCCATATAATTCCACCTTTTCTCCAGAGGGACTCTTGATCTGCCTAGTCAACTGGGACCAACATTGACTGAATTTCTCCCCAATATAATTTTGAGTTCAAGATTCTCCCAAATTCTTCTTTGGGTGTGGACTCCTATGTTTGTCCTAGTTACTTGTCATGGCATCATCACTGTGGGACTCAATGACAAGCTCCTGTAACAGGGGTAGTCACCATGTAACTGGATGGGCAACTTTTATAGGGGCTATACACTTTCAAGTTCTGTATGGGAGTTGCCTTGTCAAGTTTTTGAATTTGACTTTCATCTGCAGGAAATCTTAATCAGCATAGCTTTGTGGTTGTTGCCAGCAAACACCTTGTCACCAGACAGGACGTTACCTCTCTGCTATTGAAGGAGCGAGTGTTTGAGGGACCTTTGCAAAGGCGCCCCTTTTTTTTTTCCATCTTTTTTTTGGCCCACCTCAGTCCCTTACTTTGCTGTTGTGGGTCTAATTCTTGAGCAGACCTGTGTTATCTACCTTTTAAGGATTATGTAGTTCTTGGCCTGACCACTCTGATCCTCTTATCAGTTGCCCGATTATAACTCTTCTCCCCATCTTTAGGGGGTTCCCTCTCATTGGTGAGTCATTTGTCTCTAGTTTACCAGAACAGGTGGTTCCTTCTACATCTAGGTACTGTTTTGTCTTCAGGAATGTTACCTCAGGCTGATGTGCTTTATGTAGACTGCAAGAAAGGAAGTGAGAGCTGCTCAAGATGCCTTAATAAATTTCAGATGTCATTTGTGTAGCGCTACTATAGAAAGAAAGGGCGAGAGAGACCAAAATCACAAATGGTCTCACATCTTGCTAATGGATTTTACTGGTGCCAAGCGGCTTATTGTGGAGAAAC